CACCAGACAGACCCTGTCCCTGCCCTGCGCTGGCTACCGGGGGCGGGCATCCCGGTCCCGAGCCCCAGGGCAGCTCTGGTGAACTCAGGTGAGGCCCTTCCGCGGGGAGTGCAGTGGCTCAGGTGCCCGAGGGCGGGAAGGGCCCTCGCCTGGCTGTCTGCTCAGGGCCCCGGGTCGGATGTGGGGGTCACCACGGCCTGGACCTGCTCATTGCAGAGCCGAGCTGCGCCCAGCTCCCGAGTCTCCCGATTCTAGGTCCGGAGGCGCTGCCTCCACGCCTCTCCCGGTCCGGGCAGGTACACCCCCAGCAGCGCCGAGCAGACTGCGGGCCGCCGACGGGCACGCGGAACCCGGGAGCCAGGCTGCCACCGACTGTCACGTGTGCCATCCGTAAAACGGGTATGATACCGGCCCGCTGTGAGGATTACATCCAGGTAAAGGGCCCAGCCGGCATGGCTCAATGGGTGAGCGTCCACTTATGAACTAGGAGGTCCCCAGTTCGATTCCGGGTCGGGGCACATGTCCGGGTTGCGGGCTCGATCCCCAGTGTGGGGCGTGCAGGAGGCAGCCGGTCCAAAATTCTCTCTCATCATGGATGTTTTTATCTCTCCCTCTCCCGACCTCTCTCTAAAAATCAATGAAAAATATTTAACAAAATACAGGTAACGGTTGAAGTGTGACAGCGCTAGGAGCGGCGCCCCCGTGTCCTGGGCCCCGAAACTGCCTGGAACATCATCCCCGTTTTACGACCAATGAACTGACCTCTGGGAGGACCAAGTATTTGTATGCTTTTTGTTTTAAAAACAAGTCCCTTTCCCTGGGAATTCACTCCTGAGCCAACAAAATATCAGCCAGACACTTAGAGGGACTCCCTGTCGGCACCGGAAAGCGGGGGAGGGACGCGGGGTGCGTGGGGACCAGCGCGGTTCCCCGGCTTCCCCAGGACGGACACGCGGCCTCTCATGAACTCCGCCCCGCGCAGCACCCGGTCCGCATGTCGCAGACCTCGTGTGTGCGGGGACTTGCCCACGGTTTGTGTGCGGAATGGGCGTGTGTATTCTCTCCCGGGGAAAAGGCAGGAGAAAAAAATCCCCCGGCCGGAGCTGCGCCTGGCGCAGCCAC